ATATCTTAACTCTTCGTTGCTTGTTGCCATGCTTGAAGATGTCATTCTTCAACACTATAACATGAAAGGACAATGGTATTAAAACTCAACATTATCGCATAATGAACTTCATCAAAATGATATTCAGCCCATTCACCATTTCTATTCCTCCATGGCACATACATGATAGGACAATGATATTCAGCTCATTCAGAACAATGATATTCTCACAGGGGAGTGTTGTATTCTTATAGCAAATCAGAAGGTAGATTCTGTAATGGCAAATCCCAGTTTGGAAAAGAGAAAATTTTATTTCATGAAAAATCAAAGATTACAAGAATACAAAGCTAAGATTGTTAAGCAAAACAGTAATTGTTTTCTGGCCTTACAACTCAGCTACTGCCCTAGCTGATCATCATCCTCCATCTGCAAAAGACTGCACCAGCCACTCTACAACACAACACAGATTGCACCAACACAAACTGTAGCAGCAACCATCAGGCCACTCCACAGAATCATCACAGCACAGCAGCCTTAGCACAAAGGAATTTAAAATTCTAAATCCAAGAGTTGGCTTTAATCCTTCAAAAGGACTAAAACCTAATAACTTTTGTCACAGCTGCACTCAGTCATCAACACCAATCACTCCATCAAAGCATTAGAAAAATTATTCACAGAATGCAACTTCTAGTGTTCTGTTCCAGAAAACCAAAGTAGCAACAACACAGCTCCAAGCTCATACAAACAGAAGGAAACTGTTTGTCTAAACCAGACCCCAGACAGAAACTAAAAAACCTCCATCTGTGTTGATTAGAGAATTCTGGCCAATGAAAAAAAAACCTGTATTCAATTCCCTGATATCCCCCCAACATATACCTCATCCTCCTTGCAGTAGGCATCCTAAGCTGATCTTGAGTTAAAAGTAATCTCCCAGACACATGCATAATACCTCTGTCTAAAAATTCAGTAAAACAACCAGTCTTAACTACAAATGAGACAGAAAATCAGCTACATAATTAGCCTCTCTAAACACATGACTGATCTGGCAATGCAAGGTCTCAAGAATTATATGCTATTTGACTTTTCTCTCTCTGCTCCCCCATCGCCTCTCAGTTGCACCAAAGCTCAATGCCACAACACAAAACACAACCAAAAAACCATAACACAATGGCCATTTCATATCAACTTTTATGTACACACAGATTGGACTTTAAGCCTTGTTTAATGCATGTAATTGTTTCTGTGCAAAAAGAATAAAAAATTCAGAGTAGTGTTCATTCATCAATTATTTCACAGAGTAGTGTTTCTTGCAAATAAAGTTCATTCATTCAACAAATTCGGTAAATTAGGTAAATTTCATAAGGTAGAGTTCATTCATTCAACAAATTTGGTAAATTAGGTAAATTTCACATGGTAGAGTTCATTCATTCAACAAATTTGGTAATATTCCTACAAATACCTTGCGAACATAGTTTCACAGAGAGCTCTATGTTCGAATCCGAATTTTTTACAGTGATGCTTGAAGCACAAACATTAAAACACAAATCTTGGAAACCCTATCATTTTTGTAGAGTGATCAGCTGTGGTTGTACAAACATTGAAACCCTTCCATGGCAGTTTGAAAGGTTGGATATTCAATTTGAAGGGTGAATCTTCAGGTAACTTCACTTGGTAGGAGCTGCAATCGACGAAGAGGAACCAAGAGTAAAAAGGGATCTTCAGTTTGAAGAAGCGGGAGGAGATTGCAGATCTGGAATTTGAAGGACCAAAACAACGTCGTTTTGGTAAAGGTGAATAAAAAAAAATTACAAAAGACACCCAAAACGGTACTGTTCCACTTAATCGCATGATATGTGATGACGTCCCAACAACATAGGATTTGCTCCCAAAAGAAGGGAGGGAAAAAAGAATGAAAGTCAAATTTATTTTTAACAAGGATAAAACATAAAATAATACATTGATAAAAATAAAAAGTGGTGTTTACAATTTTACTATCTATTTTAAAATTTTTTTTATCAAATCAAAAATATTCTTTATTTTAAAAAAATTATCTCTATTTTAGAGAGCACCGAAGATACTCTTACATAGGGATACCCTTCTTGCTGTGTTGTTCTAATTTTGGATACCTTCCTTGGTACCGTAGTTCTATTCCTGTTGAAGGAATAATAGGATTTCCCTGACAGTCATCGAATGCCCTCTCTCTCTCTCCCTCCGAACTTCCCCAAGCGTCTGATCAAACCCATCCTAAATACCCAAGATAACAATGCCCACGGCCAACGCACCATTCTCTCTTCTCCTCCTCACCTTCCTCCTGATCACCACCCCACTACCCTCAACTTCCCTCCCCTTCGCCCAATACCAAACCCTCCTCTCTCTCTCCCACTCTCTCACAACCCGCGTCGCCACCCTACGCGCCTCCCGCGGCGACGTCGAAGGGTCTGTCCGTGCCAGGAAAGTGGCCCAACAGCTGGAGCGTGGGCTGGGGCTCGGCTTCTACGGTCTTATATGGACCATGGGCTGGGACTATCTGAAGAACTACGCGTGGAGAGACGCTACGACGTCGTTTGAGATGCTCAGTTCTTTGCCGGACTTGAACGAGTTGATGAGAGCGGTGAATGAGTTGACTCGGTTGGAGTCGCAGATGGAGAGGGTGGCCTGGCTCCAGCGAAATTACAAGGATGCCCTTAGGGTGTCTAAGTCGCTGTTTGGAAGGCTTCTCAAAGTGTTTAGTCAATCGGTACGTTTTGTTAATTTAAAACGAGTCAACTATGTATTTGACTCTAATCTATACCATTTTTGTTAATTAAATTCCTGAATTATGTTTTATGTTAATTTAACCTGAATTATAATATTTATGTCAGTGTGACCCTAATCCCTTAATCTCCTAAATTATACCCTAATTCTCGACTCAATGATATGCATGGGAGGAATTCAGTAAAACTTAGCTGCGAATGTGGCCTATTGAGACAAATGGTATAATTCGGTGGCTAAATTGACACAAAGCATAATTCAGAAACTTGATCGACATAAATGATATAGTTTTTAGGCCAAATAAATAGTTACCAAATTTAAAAATAAGTACAAATTAAAATTTGACCATCTTAATTATCAACTCGATTTTATTTTGTCTTGTTGCATTTTTTATATTGATCCCTCAACTATTTGAATTATTGTACAATGCCTCAAATGCTTATTATCTTTTTTGACGGAAATTATTGACATGTCGGGTAAAGTGAAAACAATTGTAGTGATGGTGTGAAAAAGTGTTATAGTTGATAGAGTTAAAGTATAATTAGTTTTTTAATAATGTGTGAAATCTAACATTGTAGACGCACCTTATGTGGTCATTGCTTCACTACTATTTAATGGATGTTAGCTTGGTAGAAGTTATCCAATTTTGATGTAACTGCTTTTTGGGTTGAGAGGTAAAAATGTCGCATCTCTTGATGAAGCGAAAACAAAGAAAAATTCTGGTGTCAATGAAATGAATTTGGGTGCATCTTTTTCTTGCAATGCGTATCTTAGATTTTGATTTAAGTTCATCTGATGCTCAAGTCAGGGAGGATTCTAAGATCAAACAAATTAATTGTGGAGAAAAAAGTGTATACCTTGAATTAACTCATCCGATATTTATAGAAATTCCTCCCTGCCTCTTAAGGTTTTGATTCATGGTTGTACAAAGTGACACACCTGTTTTTTAGCCTTAATTCATGTTGGAATCTTTATGGTTTCTCTTTCCTATTGACTGATTATTTAGGTCACATTTTATAATGTGGACCTATGTTTTAGGTAATTTCCTTACTAGTTGCCTTTGATTATTTGGGATAGCCTAGCTAACTCTTCGTCTGGCTTAATCCTTATCAATCTGTTGAAACCAAGAGTTCCATTCGGTTTCCAATTCATTTGCTTGGTGATTCTCGGCCACTGCTTAATGCAAGCCGTTGAATGACACATCTATTTCCAGTAATGTTAGACCGACCAAATTTGTAATCAAATTTGGAGTCCAAATGACATGACAGTTGACTTGAGTTTTTTTGATTGGTGTGATGTCATTTGGGTCCCAATAAAAACTTTAAATAATCAACTGCTATGTCATTTGAACTCTAAATTTGGTCCCAAAATTTGGTCAATGTAGTGTTACTCACCTATTTCTAGTTGGCTGGGGCCATAATTTGTTTGGTTTAGTTTGATATGACTCAATCAGAGACACTACTTTTGCCATACTCTTTTGTGTGCTTTTGTCAAGTGTTCTTTGTCACGTGTCCTCATTTAATGGTCTAATCATATGTAGTCATATGCTTAGAGCCCTTTCAATATTGAATTGCTGAAGTTAAAGCTTTACTTAGTCAAAGCCATTATAACATAGATAGTTAAGGACAACAATGATATCCTAAGAGAGACATCCTAAGGGAAGGGAAAAATCAAGAGTTTACAACTCATCACTATCTATAGTCTAAAACTAAACTTAACGGCGTATTACTTTTGTGATGCTATGGTGTAGTAAATGTCATCCCATATAACACGTGAATGGCTTTACACTAAAATTTCTCCAGTTTCCTAGGAAGAAGGAATAGTGGGAATATGATGTTTAAATCGCATTATTATTTCTAGAAAGAAAATTTTGGCTCATTTTCATGTTCTTGAAGATGTGAAATAGGATTGGTCATTGGTTTGCCAAAGCCCTTTTGACTTAGATTGGGGTTGGGTAGCAGATGACCCCCCCTAACTAGCACCTATTAGTTAAGGGGATTGGTCGAGTTTAGGAACGAATTTCACAAATTCATCGAGGCCTATTTCTATTCTAGCTTCTAAAGGCAGTTTTTCCCTATCTTGCTAGGGAAAAGGTTGGGGAGCCCTTTGAACAGGGGACAAAAGTCGGCCTTAATGATCTTACGCATTGTAATCATGCAAATTTCTTCAATAGTAAATGTAAAATAGCATTTTTCATTTAATTGCTTTATCGTTTAAGGTTTGTATTGAAAATGACAGGGACCATTGCGAGGAGTGGTGGAGGCGATGCAGAGAGAAGTGGTGGAGGGTGACTTGCTACGGGACTTCCTTGAAGTGGGAAGTAATGACTTGAAGGGTTTGATTCAAATCTACAAAAACATTGCTTTGCAATTCTCCCCAACTGCTGCCAGGACTGATTTATGAATGAGAGAGAAACACAAACGGTTAATTACATTATGTTCCCTGAAACTCTTGCACTAGTTTTAGTTTATCCCTGCTGTTATTGGTTTCCTCACATTGTTGTGAAACCAAATAGCCTAACTAGGGTTGTTGTGGGGGTGGGGTTGGGGGGGGGGGGGGGATTGTAAAACCGACGTTATGTTCGGATTTGAGGCTAGGTGAAACCAATTAACGTAGTTAAGAAACAATGCTAAAAAATTTAAAGTGGAGGGTTAAAGTAAAACTAGTGCAATAGTTTGAAATGGAAAAAGCAGAATTAACCGGGTTTTTGAAAGTTTGTAGCATGATATGTTAGAAAAATGAAATATATGGCTCCCCTTGTTTGATGGTGTAATTTGTAGTAATATTGCTTGTGAAAATACAAATGCAGATGAAGGTGAAATTCTTTATGTTGGTTCGTCTCAATAGTTGCGTTAAGTGTTACGATCTAGAATTTTGAGATGCGATGATATTGCATGCCTTTTTTTTTTTTTTTTTTGGGTGGCCCCTGTTTTTCCCCCCAAATTTTTCATTTTTTTCTGAATTGCAGTTCATAGATGGGCCGGGCCTAGCCATCGGACAAAAAGTTTACAACCCGGGTTAGCATATTGTCACATCTTGGGCTGACTGGGAAATGGAAACCCGTTTAATTGGTATTGTCTGAAGGTAATCTTGTTTTTTTGTTTTTAATCTTGCATTTCTTAATTTAGTGTTATATGAATTATCATACAAATTATTGATTTTTCATTTAGTTTGTAGGATGTGGATTGTGTAAATCTATGTGGGACCTATGTGTGTTACATTTAGTTGATAGAGAAAAAAGTCTTAGCTCTGCAATTTCTAATTTAGTGGTTATACATGTCGACCTGAGCTTGACACAAACAAGAAGGGATTTAATGTGATACAATTTGACCATGACATTAATGCAAAGACATAATTGACATATAACATGGCACGAACGACTCAATTGAAAGTTTGGCATGCAACCATGGAGACCCTTAGTTATAATGAAGTCATGTGGTAGATAGTGAAGTGGAACATATCAAACGTGGTTTTGAAATTGATAGGTTTAGTAGGGGTGTTGCTTCAACTACCTTACTTTAATTCCAAAAATTGGTAGGAGTCATAAGTTCTAGTTAATGCTACTGTTGGGATCTTATCCTTTTGCATTTCAATCAGCAATGCCAAATTTTAATGAATGCTATAGGAGATCATGAGTAGACTCTTTTGATTGTTACATACATTGTTTAAAGACAAGACAATGAAATGAGTGTAGGCCTTAAATAGTGGTCAAGTGTATATGGTCCTCTACATTACTGCATACTGCATTAAATTTCTATATCTGGGGGGTAGAACAAGGGTGCCTTGCCTTATGTGTGAAATTATTGAATTTGAATACGTAAATAAATAAGTTGATGGATACCCGACTAAGTTCTCAAAACGGAGAGTTATCTAGAGACGGAGAAACTCTCAACCGCTAGAATGGTAATTTTTGCCTGACCCGTTTTCATCTCTCGTCACAAGGGACTCATTTCGCCTTAACACCGAAACATCAAGTTGACTCGATCGTTGATCTTTACGCGTCTCCTCCTGTATCCTACTAGATAGAGCGAGAGTCTTTTGACAGGGATGCTTATGAGAGGGGTTGCCTGCTGTATGAAGAATTCATCAGACTTTATTAAATCATTGCTGGAAGTCAACTCAAATGCAGCACTGAGAAATCATTAAATCATTGTCGACAGAGTTCTATAAATCTTTTGAACAAGTCTTCAATGTGTAATTGTAGAGTGAGATCTCTTTTTAGGTTCTTATATAAGTATTGTGGAATAATAATGATTTATGACTGGTTTTAATAAGTTTTATTTGACAGTTTTAAATATACTTATCTAACGGCTACTAATATTTCTTTCAAAACTATTTAAATTACACCGTGTCTTCAGGCACGAGTTATCTCTCAAAACTAACAAAGATGGATATATATGGGTTACTTTAATTTAAACATAACTTTTAAATTAAGATAACCGATTTTATTCTTATGTTACATATCATACTCAATGTACATTTTCTTCCCATGTTTTTGGTGAACTAATTTTCTAAGAGACGACTACATAGGTATATTGTCAAATTAGACTTCTATTGACAGTCGTAGAGTGAAATCCGATTCATGTAGGACTCAAACTTGAGTTAGCCAACTAAGCAAATAAGATTCAAAAAATGTTGGTCATTGTGCAAAGTGAAATTTGGCATAACATCCCACGAGTTCAAAGACCGCATAGTTGGGACTGTTCCAGGTTATAAAAATGGGAACTCAAGCGACAAATATAAAGTCATGTACTTTTTAGACTAGTTTTGTATATTTTAAGAATAATTGAATTTTTTAGTTCACTGTTGGAGGGCAGAGTGGGGGTGGTGGTGAATTTCTATGGAAAAAGAATTGAATTTACTGATGAGAAGGACAATGATTCTTGGTTGGACAAAGTGCAAGACACAAAAGGGTAATATTGTTATATTAACAAAAGAGAAAAATTAGTTTAAACGTCTCACTTTAAAAATTCAGTTGAGTTGAATCTCATGCCTTAAAAAGTATAAGTCTAGATTTATTTACAAATTAAGTACCAACTTTGTAATTTTCAACAATTATTCATATAAAAAAATGTCTCCAAACTGCCCTCTATTTCTAGAAGAGGCCAGGGAAAGACAGCTTATGTCCATCTAGCACACACTACATTTTCTTATTCAATCATGTGGGATAGTAAGAGTTATGTATCTTCTTCTATCTTCATAACTACACAAGGGTCGTCTATGCAGACCCATGTTACATGGTAGGACTAAACTGAAACATTAAATTTAGTGGTTCAAGCCACATGCACAAGAACCAGCACCAATTAATGCTATGGTGGCCCCCTTTTCCTATTTGTGCATGGCAATATGCTTTATAATATACATCTGCTGAAACCCGTATACTTCGGATGACACTGTTTCAGTAACTAATATTTCAAAAGAGTTACTCTAGTTGATCAGATGCATTGGTATTGGTTTGTGAGAGATTGTATGCATTACAATTTACGAGTTCAGGTACCAGTCATAAGTTTAACAAATTAAATTCATAGTTGTGAAGTTTAGATCATAACAAATATATACAATTGCTTAATGCTTTAGATCAGTTATGCTCTTTCATGTCAATTGTTTGATTTTTTCTTTAAAACCCGTCAATATACTTCGGATGACACCATTTCAATAACTAATACATCAAAAGAGATACTTAAGTTGACTAGATGGGTGTGGTTTGTGGGAGATTGGATGCATTGCGAGTTTAGGTACCAATCACAAATTTTAAAAAATTCTAAATTGGGACTATTTTTGGTCATAAAAATATATATATATATATACATACACAGCTGCTTACTGCCATTAGATCAGCCACACTCCTTCAGGTCAACCATTGAATTTTTATTTAAAATTCTTCGGTATACTTTAGATGGCACCGTTTTAATAACTAATACATTAAAATAGATATTTTAGTTAACTAGATGTGCGTGGTTTGTGAGAAATTAGACGCATTACAAGTTTAAGTACCGGTTACAAGTTTAAAAAATTTTTTATAAAAAAAACCATATATACAGCTGCTTGATGCCATTATATCATTCAACTATATGTGTAATTTATCATATTGTGAAGGACAAAACAGTAATTTCAGAAAAAGGATAAAATAGTAATTTCAGAAAAAGGACAAAATAGACGCTTGAAAGACCTAGCAAAATTTATTAGCACAACAATGCTCTTTTATGAAATGTATATTGGGCCCACCAGTAGAAAGCGTTGACCTGGTTTTTATGGGAGAAGAAACAAGTCAAATATTTGCTTTATGAGATCTAATCTTGGTTACTTTGTGATTTTTCCAGCTAGTTAAGGAGACTTAGGGTGTGTGTGTGTGTGGGTTAAAAGAAGTCTGCCGCAATTCTGCTTTTAAGTGGAAGTGTTGTAGTTTTCTTGTGATAAAAAAAATCTAGTTCAGAATTTTTTGAATTATGAATATGCTATGCACAAGATCATAGTATTTGTAGAAATTAATTAGAACTAGTAGACATTGATCCATCTTTATACAATAATCAACATTTCTTCTTTTAATTTGCTTAATTTCTGTAAGTTTCACCCAATAAGCTTAGGCGATAGATTAGATTAAATGAAACTGACTAGATTTTTACTAAAGAATGAAGAGGATATATATGAAACAACAGACATTGATGGTTGTAAATCGAAATTAGGGTATCGATACTGCAGTGGTCCCCATATCATGTCGGTGCAAATAACGAATTAAATCAGTGTTTCGACATTTCTAATTTGAATTTTTTTTTACTCTTTGACTTCATAAAGTAGATGGGTTGAGATAAATGTAGCTCATTTCCAATGAGAATCTCTCTTGATATATATATATATATATATATATATATATATATATATATAACTTCATGATCAAGTAAGTGGTATGGTAGTTTGTGCATGGGACTTATAAGAGGAGTCAGTTTATTTATCCACGTCCTTCAAAGACCTAGGGACCTTCATTGTTTTGATCTAAGTACCAAACTCAAGTGTTCAATATTGCTAGCTTATTTAGGGGTACAAGTAATAGAACATGAAAGGATAAATGTGCTTTGAAATTTGGGGCAATATGTGTTTTGTATTAATGTTGGGTGAGTGAAGCACTTCCATGATGAGTTGCAGCCTATTTTGAAGTAGGGAAAATTCCTTTTTCACTCCCTCAACTATGACCCTTTTTTTTTATACTTTTCTCTCAACTATCATGTTTCGCATACTATTAGTTTTACATTGCTCTGATGATTAACGTCCGTTATAAATTTGACGAGAACTTGTTTCAATTTCCCCCCAAAACTGTGTGTTTTGTTCTACTTTGTCTTGACGCATTAATAATTTTCTCCCAAAAGATAATAGACGTTTGAGATTGGGACAACATGACATAAATTCAAATAATGGAAGGACAATGTGAAAAAATTAATAGTTCAAGAGATAGAGTGAAATTGGGTCCATTATTAAGGGGGCCAGAATGTAATTTCCCTTTTGAATTATATAAACTCTACTCATCATATGGGTAAACATTCATTGCATAGAAATAAATCAAACTCGGACCTTTTTTGAATCTCTATAGTAGACAAGAAATATAAATTGGAAACAAGAAAAAACATTTGTTCATTATTGTAAGGGAAAATTATGCTTTGATCCTTCAACTACGACTCTTTTTTTTTACATTATTCCCACAACTAGTAATTAGGGCAATATGTAACTAATCACATATTGAACAGAAAGTTATTTTATTTTTGTCCCTTAAATTATGTAATTTTTTTTTATTTTGGCCCGATATGTTGGTAATTTTCGTCCAAAGAGATGATGGACGCTTCCAATTGGAGAAATGTGGAATAATTCGAGTAATTGAGGGAGCAATGTAAAAAATTCAATAGTTCAAAAGGCAAAGTGAAATCGAAATCATAGTTTAAGGGGGTCAAAGTATAATTTACCCTTGCACTAAACTGTAGCATAGTTATTATACCTGTGGACTTTGGTACTATAAGTATTACTTTTACGATCTGATTTTTTCTTTTTTTTTAGTTTGGTCAATTTACGCACCCCTTTCTCCAATCAAGTCAAAACATGCTAATCCACACCGGCCTCTGATTCAATTCCATGCATTTGAATACATTATAAAAAAAAAAAAATTGCCGAGTCAGTCACAGAGCCCAATGCGTAGACTCCCACAATATATATATCCGCGTGAAATCAATGCATCTAACTACTTTCTCAACTGTAAAACTAAATTTAAACAGTAAGCTTTGCACTTTGTCTCTCATCTCTCGCTATATATATTCATTTTTCCAAGCTTTAAATTTCATCACTCACCAACATTCCTCAAGTCTCACACCTTTGCTTATTCATTTGACACTATAATTCTTCTCTTGTGACCATTTTTTGTACTTCATTCTCTTAGTTTTTAGTGATGGGTGGTGGGGTGAAGAAGTGGGTGGTGGTGGTGGTAGCGGCGGTGGCGGTGATGGTAAATTTGTGGAGTGGGGTTGGAGCACAACCACAAGTTCCTTGTTACTTTATATTTGGTGATTCATTGGTGGATAATGGGAATAATAATGGAATTGCATCGTTGGCTAGAGCCAATTACTTGCCTTATGGGATTGACTTCCCTGCTGGACCAACCGGAAGGTTTAGTAATGGTAAAACCACTGTTGATGTCATTGGTGAGCTCTCACTCTCTCTCTCTCCCCCCCTCCAATCAAAACCAAAAGAATCAAAAAGGATAAAAGGGAAAAAATGAAAAAGACAGATAAAAAAGGCCTGTGTTGGTCTGTCATAGTAGCTTCTTTGAAACGACATATTTTACCTTCTAGTCTGTTTCTCTCTCTTTGTTTATTGGGTTAATATCATAATTAAACTTTCACTTTCACTTTGATTTTAATTTGTTGTTTGAACTTTCACTTTAATTGCTCACTTTTAATTATTAATTTTTTCTTAATTAAGTCATTTTGTCAATTTTTACTGTTAGATCAGGTGAGAACATATGATCTAATGGTAGAAATTGATCAGATCGGACTAGTCTCCATTTGATCTAATGGTAAAAATAGACGGCATAACTTAATTGAAATGAAATTCATGGTTTAGAGACTAAATTGAGACAATTAAAACTTCAGGGACCAAATTAAGACTAAAAATGAAGTTCAGGGACCAATTATATTTTTTACCCTCATTTATTTTTTGGCATTTTTGCAATTTTTTTTGTGTCTCTTTCTTGCTTATATGCTGCCACCTTTGAAGGGACAAAAAAGTATATGTTTTAGAGGTCATATAATCCTGAAGGTAGGTTCAGTAATTGAAGCCTAGCCATTCTTTTAAGTTTTAAGGTTCCTTATGACAAAATAAACTTTATGGGTAGAATGGGATTACATTGTTTTTTCAATGAAGATTTCAAAAGAAAGTTTACTATTGAACTGGTTAATATGACTGACTGAATTACTTTCACAATATTACAGCTGAGCTTTTGGGTTTCGATGATTACATTCCTCCCTATGCAAATGCCAGAGGCCGACAAATACTCGGAGGAGTAAACTATGCATCTGCAGCAGCTGGAATTAGAGATGAAACTGGACAGCAATTGGTACCTTAACCCTTTCTTTCATTCCATCCTCTCAGGACAACTATGACCCGTCAATATCAACTCGATATGATACGATTTTAAAATTGATGCGATTATTAAATACGTATAATAAATAGTTTCGATTAATATTTGACACTTCAAATATACTAAATAGATTATTTTTTTTGTGGGTTTCAACACAAATAATAATGACACGGCACAAAATATCGACATACAGGTTACTCGACACAAATTGATACCACTCTCATCAATTTCAACAGTATCAATATTGCCTTGCATACCACGGGCTTGATAGCTCTCATAATATGGCCATGCAGTCGGTTAGGGGTTTGAGCCTCATGCATGCAGGCATGTTCATGAATGGATCGGTATCTTATTTGTAGTCAATTCGATTTTCGATTCGTGGGACGTGAGTTGGTATTTTGGACTGATTATTCAAATCTGAATTTGATTCAATATATCCCATCCTATGGATATAGGTGCATGCATGTGGACCCATCAATACCCGACTTGATAGTGATTTGATCCGAATTTCATCAATGTTTTCATGAAATTGAATTGAAATTAAGATGTAATTTGCAAACCCCCCCCCCCCCCCCCCCCCCAAGTGGAGTTATTCGGAGTGGATTGATTTTAGATCGGATTTTTGTCTTTTTTTTTTTGAAAATCTGATTTAAACATATAACGTAAAAAAAGAAATCAATTGGAATTTGAATCAAATTTCGATCAGATTTTTCGTATCCGATTTGGATCGGACGAATTTCAATTTGTTGATGGACTTACCTAGAAGGATAATAAGTGGTCAATCAGACTATTTTTCTTAATCCCTCCTTCCAAACCTGATAGACAAAAACTCTAACGGGTTTGGGCGGGTTTCTGCTGGGGACCAAGACCAAATATAGTATAAAAAAAAAAAAAACTCTATGCGTGAGTCACTGAGTCAAAAAATGCGTAATTAAGACAGTTTTTTTTTTTTTTTTTTGTCTTGAAAAGATCATAACTCCCCAGATGTTTTTAAACATGAAATCATGGCACTAATTCTCATATTTTGATGTTGTTTTGTTGCAGGGTGCAAGGATAAGTTTCAGTGGGCAGATAAATAACTACAAAAACACAGTAGCACAAATGGTGGACATACTAGGAGATGAAGACAGTGCTGCAAATTACCTGAGCCAGTGTGTATACACACTTGGAATGGGCAGCAATGACTACCTAAACAACTATTTCATGCCTCAGACTTACTCGACTAGTCGTCAATATACACCTGAACAATATGCTGATGTTCTTATTCAACAATATTCCCAGGGAATACAGGTATTAATTAATCTTCCATGTTCCAAGATTTTCCGATTTTAATTCAAACTTAACCGCCTCGTTGAACTTGGATGATGGCCGTGAGATCCTAACACAGGGCCTCATACATAGCTTAGACTAATGGAGCTCTAGTTCTAACTTATTAATTTGCTTAATACTCCTTACTATTTAGTACCAGTCGGGTAGTTTGAAAGTTTAAACTAATTTAGAGATCATGCCTCATAGATTGATGGAAAAATTACACTTACAACTCTTTTAACTATGCCTTTCATTTCATATTATCCTACCCCTTTTCTTTCCATTTCACTCTAAGTTATCAATTTTAGTTTCACATTCTCTCAATTGTCGTTTTTCCCCTTTTCCCTCCATTTTTTCACAACATATTAGGTCAAAAATGAGATCTTACCATTAAGTGATGTGGTCTTTCCATAGTTGGGCGAAATTCCATTTTTGCAATGATTTGCCATGAAAAATTGAACAAAAAAAAATGATAATTAGGGTAATGCGAAACTCAAATCAACACTTTAAGATGAAATGTGAGAGAGTAGATAGTTTAAAGCTATTATCAAATAAGGGTGTAAAGTATACTTCGTTGTAGTTTAATTCTATGGTGGGGGTTGAACCTTCTGCCTATACTAAGATGAAAAGGAGGAAAAGACTTGGTTAAATTGACTAGTAGAAGAGCATCGTGGAATTCGCAGAAGTGTGTCCACACCCCCCAAACTAACTTGATGAGAAATCCATTATAGCCAACAAACACAACCCCTACACACCCCTAAGAGCACTCCTTATATATCCATACAAGACCCGAGTAGGCGGGTTGAGGTCGGGTTCTATTGTTATTGTCAGAAATAGAATTCGAAAGGTGGGTTCAAAAGGTTAAAAAAAACTAAGTTTTGTATATGTCTTTGCAATCGAGTTAGGGCATTTTTTTTTTTATAAACTTGGAAATTTATCCAGTGGATTGTGGCTCTTGTAGGTTTTGTACAAATATGGAGCAAGGAAAGTTGCCTTGATCGGAGTGGGCCAGATTGGTTGTAGCCCAAATTCATTGGCCCAAAACAGCCCAGATGGTTCAACATGTGTAGAAAGTTATAACTTTGCAAATCGGATATTCAATAACAGGCTCAAGTCTCTAGTTGATGACCTCAACAACAATCTACCACAAGCAAAATTTACCTACATCGATGCTTATGGGATTTTTCAAGATATAATAAGCAATCCATCAAACTTTGGTAAATATTTTCGATACACTTACATTTAAATTTTGCTATATGCATTGTCGTTTTAATGCTAACTAGTAGCTAGAATTACTTTAAACTCGCTCGGACTACAATGGTCAATATCTGAACTTGATGGAATAGTCGACACTATTAATAATACTAGCTACATCGACTTGAGTATTAAGTTCATTGTATTAGTTTACACACAAAAAAAGTGACCCTAACTTAATTAACTACTTTTTCTTTTTGGACTAATGGTAAGTGGGCCGGATCAACCACATAATCTAGCCCAAAGGCTTGTGAGAGGTATAATCGGTTTAAGTTTTGGGCCAAGGCCCATGTACCGGCCAAGACATTAAGCCATTCTCTTTTACTCCCCAATTAACCATCTTTTAAATATTTTACAATTTCAAATTGAAATGATTTTTTTATTATTACTTTCACACTTGAAAATAATAAATATTATATGGATAAAGTAGTATAGTTATGTATAAAATAAAACTACTATTTATGGTTGGGCTTAGCCAAACCCCAAGCCAATGTAAACTAGCCTAGGCCAAGGCTTGGGCTAAAGTTATAGCCCAAACCTTGATTTTTTATGGGCTTGCTAAGTGCAATGGTCTACTGGACTCATGCCCACCCATATATTGCAAATAGCAATGATGGAATTCGAGCTGAAATGGAAGAACAAAATTGATATTGTTTCCCAGATGTGTTCATACTTGATTCGAGTGTTAGTGTTAAAATTTTTGTGTGCATATTTGATTTAGGTTTTAGGGTTACGAATGCTGGATGTTGCGGCGTAGGGCGGAACAATGGCCAAATAACCTGTCTTCCTTATCAACCTGCATGCCAAAACAGGGATGAATACCTCTTTTGGGACGCATTTCACCCATCCGAAGCTGCAAATGTCATTGTGGGGAGACGATCATACAATGCTGAATCCTCATCCGACGCATACCCTATCGATATTCGACGCTTGGCTCAACGCTGAAGATGGAGTTGATGAACATGGTGGTGCCATTAGAATATTGTTAAAGCATTTATACTACTGTTTGTATCACTATATAATTATATATATTTTTTGCTGCCATTGTCATTTGAGAGATGTGATATTGTTGTATTACAAGTGCAATTGTTTTAAGGAATGTGATGGTGTTGTATTACAAGTTCAATGAGATTTGTGTATGCTACAAGCTCTCCTCCCAAGGTAGAGTTTTCTGTCTCATCGCTTTGGTGGCCTACCCATGAAGGTCTACATCCCTTTCTTTGTTTTCCCCTTCTGAGTTAATACTCTCCAACACGCTTTCCTTCTTCCATTGGTAGTCTCAAGGAAGGCTCATTTCCCAATGTAAGATCTGTCTATGCATATGAACAGCTTTCTAGTCTCTTTTCTCTTGTTTATCATCTATTTCTATAGTCTGAAACCCCTGAACTCTACTTTGTTTCTTTCCCTTCTTCCCCTGAACACCTGAGAGCAACAATAGCAACGCTGGGATTTCAACCATGTTAGGAGGAACATTCGATTGGTGTAGATGCACAGGCGGCACGTGAAATGTCATCAAATTGAGACACGTGGATAGAGGGTGAATATGCTGCAAATCAGAATTGAGTATGAGAATCAGATGGTGGAACGATATTCTGTTGAACTCAGTGAGACAACGACATCAATGGGGATTGGGGGTACATGGCGAAAGCAGATCGTAAACCTATGTTATGGTAATTTTAAAATCAATCCTTCGTTACATTTACATCTAAAAAATATAGTGGGGGAACAATATTGGGTTCATTGCATGCATCACCACTCAAATGACTTGTCAAATTAAGTACAAGGTGGGTGGGTGGGTGGGTGGGGGGGGGGGGGGGGGGGAATAATATTTATATATTAAAGTAGTTAGTTTTGTTTGTCTCGATCTTTTCGCGATTCAGATTGTTTGAAGATTATTGATCCGACGATCATAATTGAACTTTCATTCCTTTTAAAATTCTAAGATTCTTATATTTTATATAATTTTCTCTCTATCTTATACACTCAACTCTCATACGTATATAACTCTCTCTCATAGACATTTTAAACACACACTCTCCCATCTCTCATACTCTCTCTCTCTCTCTATATATATATATAAATATGTATATAGATACATAAATATAGATAAAATGAAAGTCTAATTAGGATTTCGTAGTTCAGATTATTTGAGAATTATTGATCCAACGATTTTAATTGGACTTTTATTCATTTTAAAATTCTAAGACTCCTATCTCTCACACTCTCCCATCTCCCATACTCTCTATTTCTCTCTCTCATATATATATATATATATATATATATATATAAAGTGATACCAATTAAACCAAAAAAAACAAAAAATTCAAAGCCAAGTTAATTACCAATAAAAAATAACAAGTGATATCAATTGCACCAAAAAAACTAAAAAATTCAAAGTCAAGCTAATTATCAATAAAAAAATAACAATGACCAATAAAATAAGTGAAACCAATTGTACAAAAAAAAAACAATATTCAAAACCAACTATCAATTTTTTTTTCTTATGTGCATTGTTTTCCCCTTACTAATAGACATATTTTTTTTGAATACTTGAATAGTGCAAAATAGACACTTAAACGACAAAAAAGTTAATTGCAGCGTGAGAATATTTTTGTAGCATCCGAAAAGTGATAGTAGCAGAGAATTTAAATCAATTGTCATAGCAATTACAAGTAAATTTGCTGGATAATGTTAGTTCAATTGAGTTTTTTCTTTGTAGTTCAATGTGAACTAAACAACATATTCATTAGACTTAGCCAAAGGTTGAAAAAATGAACGCTCATTAGAAAAAAGAGCCACTATGAAGAAATGTATGGTAGGATAATTTTGTAATGATATTAACTTAACTTCGTGGAGATTCTTGGATTGTGTTAATGCGACATGATTTTTCTTTATTTCAACCCTTACACTTCTTTTATTTGACATAATTGGATGCCCCCATTTGTTAGGCGAATTTTTTGTGTTAAGTGTGCTTTTAGGCATGGGTAATGACTACTATGTAATAATATAGTATGTGACTAGGACATTATAAAATATACAATAATAAATTAGAAAATTTTGGCTTATGATATGTGGGACTCGTACAATTATTGTCCTAAAATAGCTATGCCTCTCCATGTGAAGGTATTAATAAACATAAGCAGTTATAAGATTCATCCCAAATATGCTCATTGTAGCACCTTCTCAGGAGTCACGTCTATTTAGAATGTTGAGGTGAATCTGACTCAAATCAAAGTTGCTTATAAAATCACGATAGTAAAAAATATTGTGCTATTATTTTAGAATATTGAGAAGAACGAGCTCATAAAAGAAATCAAATAAAAGGATAAATTGATGAAACATATAGCAAATGAAGCAAAGGACAAATTGGTACAGAGGCTTACAGAATATGGCTGATCCCAACCGACAACCCCTTGGGCAGCTTTTGATACCCTCTTTATATAACCTGTTTTTTCTTGCACCAGCGAGTCCATTAAAACTAAGATTTATAGTAAAATTGAATTTGCCATTCAAGTGACCGATTATACCGGTCGTAACTGAAATAAAATAATTAGAAATTTTTAAAAACTTTAATATATTCCAACACTAGGGTCCTTTAAGTGCCACTAGAGAGTATTCTTATCCTAAGTTTAAAAATAATTAATTGAAGTGGGATTAACAAATAATGCTTGGTAGGAAAATCTACACTACTACGAATTGACAGAGTTTGAAAATAGTTGTAAGTGTGAAAAACAATTCTTTTCCCGAACCTTACCAAAGTTTTAGTGAGTCTATAATAGCATCAACAATTCGTTATGAACCATATATTTTGCCCGCCAATGACCCAATTACTGGCTAAACAAAATCATATATCGTTCTTATATCTTCCCTCAAATCTTTTCTTTAGTATAAAACTATTGTCTCCATTAACCAACCACCCACACCAAGAATATGATTAAAAAAATTAATAAAATAAAGGTCATGAGTCAGTAGGGATCCAACTATTAGAGAGATATGTATGATAAGATTAATTAACTCATTTATAATGTCAAGACTATTTAGATAAATATAGATGATGACGATAGACATAAGTGTGCACTCATTCATTCATTCATTCATGCTCCATGGCCATAAATAGGATTTGAGGAGAGGCATATGTACACCATTCATTCAGTGAGTAAACAAGAGATCATATAGTTAGGTGGAGATGATAATGGAGAACAATAGGATCAGGGTTCTTGTGGCTACCTCTGATGCTAATGGGGTTACTAACCGCAGGACTCTTATCTCGAAAATAATGCTGGAAGCGGCAAACTTTGCGTTCCTTGGAACGTGGAGTGCACTCCTGGGTGTTCTTACACTGGTTTGAAATACAAGATAGGTTTTTATTGTCATAAAAATAAATGCTCGAATTAGTGTCTCCATAATTTATTAAGGCACAAAACTATTCTTCAGGGAAGAAGACTTTTTTTTGATATAACTGGCATAACTACACATTCATATGTAATGTGCCTTGAAAAAAGTCATAGATATGTATGACCACATAAAATAAGTCAAATGACTATGTATTGTTTTGATATTAACTAGAAGGCTTTAAAGGCCTTGAAATTTTCATTCCAAATATATATGTGATCACAATTTTTTTTCCTAGAAAGTCCATGCATGGAATACAAGTACCAACTCCATAAAAGTGTGAGAAAATTGGTAAAAGTGATTAAATTAAAAAAGTTATTAGTGGTTTGACTTTTATTCAGTCGAACCGTGGTAGTTTGTGATAGGGTTGTATCCTAAAAATTAATTTATTTTTTGTAATGAAATTCAGTTTATTAATTAATAAAACTTCTTTATTTCTTATTTCAATGAAAATTTGTGTGGGTAAAATATTTACATTATTAAATATATGATATGGATGTGTCTTTTATTTTATATTACATATAATCTGTTCGGCATATACATAGAAAATTAGATTATCAGATTCTTGTATGATATAAGTAAAAATTTATAGTCTTAAATGGAATTGAATACACCATCAGTAGGATTGTAGTACAATCTTCTAACATAATTTGTGTTGACTATAAGAGACTATCTAACGCCTCGGATTGTTGCACTAATTTGTGATGACCATTATTGATGTTATTTTTTTTATTGACCAAATAAAAAAATAAATACCTCATGGTTATTATGATTGCTTAAGCACTTAATCATAAACTATTTAATTGACATGTGTAATAATTGTTAATTTAATTCATAAAAGAGTGAAATTCATATTTGAGTCAACAAACTCAGTGAATTACGAGATGACATTATTTGTATGGTGAAAATTAATTATTAAAGAAAGCCACGTCTCAGTATTTAAAGGGGTTGATGATGTCCTCTTGAGAAAACTTATAAGTTTTGTCCAAGTTAAACTTTGCACGTGGATATAATTATCCGATATGACAAATAAGTTGAGTGATAAAATCTTAATATAAGGAGAAAAATAAGTCAATTAAATATAATTGTCAATAATTTAATTAATTAACAGACATCTATAATTTTTAATGTGAAGAAATTATTAAACATATAATAATGAAGAACTCGAAATATAATTTTGAAATAAGGCTTAGGAAATCAATAATAAGTTTTAAGTGAATTAACCTATTATTAATGGATCATATGATACTTGTTCTGGGTTGGACATAGAATTCCTAAGCCATTGAAAATTAGGCTTTTATTTCTCCTTAAGGTCTCTAATGTAGCCTATAAATAAATACAGTGCCCGATTCTCTCATATAAAATATTGATCGTCACGTTTAGAAAAAGTAGAGAGAGAGAGAGAGAGAGCAAATGAGAGAATTCGGAGGATTGCAGCCCACATTACATTCTAATTTTTGGCATGAAAAGATATACGCTAGAAGATCGTGAGATTTATCAACCTAGCTATTCATCTTTCCTGCAGATTTGCTCGTCAAAAGTAAATCCTAATT